TGGTAAATGAGACACCGAAAACGAGCTTGTTTGCCAAATTGACTTCTTGATAAACGTTTCTGTTGCATTTTTCTTACAAGAAGAGTAAAGGAAACGTTTATATGAAAACAACCAATGGATTAGCAAAGAATTTCAAAAATCTGGGTTACCTTTCTTATAAAAACGAGAGGATGAGCCTAAGACTAGCGCTAGTTTGAGGAGCACAAACTAGTCAAACTGCGGCAACTAGCTCCCAGTCGTTCAATCGCTGGTCCAAATGATCAGAATTTATGCTGTGAGTATCGGCAAATAAAATCAAGAGTTTCCTGTTTCCTGTTTCCCAGTTGTATCCATCAGCTTAGTTTGAAAATCCCGATGCTTGATGCCCATTTAGAAAAACAAGCAGTATTAACTTCTTAAGATAGGACGTGAGGGATTCTCAGAGTGCATATAAAAAAGGAACAGTAAAAGAAAACTCACAATGTTCGTTTCGCGAAACGAGTAGAACGTGCGTAAGATTGTGAGTAATGTGTTAGCCAACTGTTGACGCGTTGCTGGCTTTGGTGCGAGTAACATGAAAGCCCTGAGACAAAGAATAAGGTGACATGGAAAAGCGCGAATGAAAAAATGAAGTGGCGTGCTTTTCAGGGTTCCGAAACCAGAATTAACAGAAAAAAATTAGAAAATACCGACAGATATCTAGCAGATAAACAGTGTGGTGATCTTCATCCAACAACGCTAATCTACATGGTACACAAAGTAGCCAGATAAACAGTAAAGGAAATGAGCCTGTTTGATGGGGAAAAGGTGAAACGATGCAAATAGTCTCAACTGAAGAGGGTACCTAAACAAATGGCAGGAAATCACTGGGAGCAATATAACCTCCTTTTCTTCTGTGCTCGACTGAATCCTTGCATAGATCTATCAGAAATCGCTCACAAAACTTCGACTGTTACTAGTTCTGGAATAAATCGTTTCGAAAGCTGTTTGTTGTGTTAGTATAACTTCCCGACGTTAATTGGACCAGCTGAAGAGTTGTGATTGAAAGATTTTCAGTCATATCAACCGTTCGACTAAATCTTTGGTCTTCTGTCGACCTCGAGTATAAACGGTTACGTTAGACAGGCATTCATTTGCTGACCGAATGTGCGCTCTGGAAAAGGGTTAGTTGGAGCACATGGCGCATCACGTCTAATGCACCCGTAGACAGTCTGGGAGATAAATGGGAAATACAACCCGTAGTGAACTCGGGTAATCAAAATATAATCATTTTCGGTCCGATTTATTAAGGTATTTGATTATCTTGTTATACCCATGAGGAGCTAAATTGGGAAATTTTTACATGTGTACTTCAATATCAAAAATAAAGGTCGTGCGTAGTCCCTCTTTTAATATGTATGTTCAACCATGCATCCGTATTGTGTGTTACCATAATGTCTATGTAGGCAGATTCAAACTAATGCACTCAGAATATTTCAACACCGATGATAGTCTCGGTGTTCGTGTAAATGGTGTCCTTAGGATTGCTGTCAGACACACGGATCGTTTGCGCGGGTCACAATGGGATACATACTATAATTCACTTACTGAAAAAGTGATTTTGGAAAAGAACATGGTGCAATTATTGCTTGAAAAATCATTCAACCACTGAATGTTTTCCGCAATAGTCATATTCACAAAGAGTATTGTAAAGCGGATAAATTTACTGTCACTGTAGCTAAATTCAAGGTTGGAACAACCGATCTAAATACATGCAATACACTCCGCGGAAAAGTATTGCATCCCCCATGGACTGTAGTTCTTGAAGCCACTTTAGTGCCCTGTATAATATTTCTAATCATTTTCGTGTCCATAGTATTCCACTCTTGCAATCAATAGTGCCTGGAGTTCGTGTTTTGTGGTGCAAAATCTGTAGTGTTGGTTCACCTTTCGGGTAAGCATAGACCCAATATTGTCTATTGGTTTCAACTCTGGGCTTTTCGTAGACCGCACCGTTATTTTGATGCCGCAACATAATAACCAGCATGCCGCCAGATAAGAGTAATGAACTACGACGACATCATGCAGAAAAATGATAATTTGATGCAGTCGATATCATAACGTGCCTATCCAGTGTACGAAAATACGCATCAGAACGTTACAGTTCACGTAGAGTAGCGACTTCGGTTGGGCCACTGCTTGGTTAGGCGCCCCTGACTTTTGATTGTTAACCCATTGAATGAAGAAACGCTCTGTCTGCAGATCGAATCAGTTGTAGTTCCACGCGTTGAGTCCATAAAAATTAAGTTTCCGTTGCTCGCTAAGGTGAATAAGATTTCATCCGCTTTTTCAATTTACATGAGTTTAAGTTCGTCATAAACATTTCTTCAGTTTCTTTCAAGTTGCTAGAGCCTTCTCCTTTTCTTGTACTTTATGCGAGCAACCGTATCAAGTGTTCATTGTATGGTTCTCAGCAAAACGTTCAACTCAAGCACAGTTTTCATCTCCGACGCATGACTCAGAACATAAGTACATACTTAGTAATCCGCCCCTACCCTTCCCTGAGAGCCTGTTTTGTGCTTAATTCGCTGATGACCGTCCTTTTAGCCGTTTCTGCTTGAAATATCCTGTCACAGTGTGATTCGTACATAGTTCTGTGTCTGACTATCTTATGCTTGTTGACATCGATCTCACTAAAGGCATCGGATTCTGGATTTCGCGTTGTCACCAAGGGTCGCATAGGTCCTGTTAGGCTCCCTGGATAGAGACCTAGAGATGATCGTTACTGATGGTTAGAGATACTGAGTGATATGACTGAGTGTCGTAAATAGTGGCGTTCGTGGATCTTCTCAATTTCTTTGCAATATTAGTCCACTGAAATTCGCGATTTTCTCCCCGATTCTACCCTCAACCTTCCTGTCTTTCTTCTAATTTTCATCCAAATAGGCAGCAACGAAAACCGGTGCACAAAATTGCATGGTTAGTGGTCGTTGAAACTGAAAACTATCATCAATCCTCTTTCATCGTACCATGGTTGTGATGGCTTGAAGTGGCTTAATTAGACGTTTTCGTTCTTTCAAGGTCAGTAAGAGTGACCGTGAGCATGACCGTAGCTTGCAGAGTCTCCCAATCACGGACTCACACCGGTTTTCAGTTGTCACACCGAAGTATAAACTCATTTTCTGACCAATTTTACTGTGTAAAGTCCGTCGGGGATGCAATACTTTTGTCCCGTGAAAATTCTGCTTTTCCGATCTATTTTCATTAAAAAAAAATAAAGATAGCATGATGGAACTTGATATTTCTGTTCTTCATTCGGTTGCGGTCTAGATTCTCAAAAGTGCTGATGATCGTGCATGTGGGCGCGGAGATTAGCCAAAAATTTGTAGGGGTTGCAATACTTTTTTTGCGAGGAGTATATTCAAATGACCATTTATTACTGAGCCAAGTGCAATATATTACCAGTCTCTCTTTTGGGTGATCTCAAAGGTCATACTCAAAGGGAAGCACATTTTCGACTCACAAGCACGGCTGTGAAGGGCTAGTATAGAGAAAATGCATCAGCCAACGACATGCTTTTGGGCTGGTACTAGCCAATCTCACAAGAAGCTCAAGCCATTCGGAATTGATCTGGGCAGCCATGTCGCGCACGGCAGAACTACTTGCGCTTTGAGCATCGGCCAGGCAACCTTCAATGCTCAATTTGGTTCTCGGATGCAAGCAGAGAAAGGTGTGGAAAATGAAGTGGGACAACAATCGTGTGCCAATGACACCACGCTGCGGTTCGTGACGCAGGCTGCTGGAGTCGAGCTGTAAATTGAATAAAGCAGAAAGTGCGGAGCATATTACGTGCACTAAACAGTTCTCGCACAGATGAGCCAAAAGCAAACATCGCTCCTTGCTTTCAAACTGTATCTTATCTCTCTCTTATCTCAAACTGAACTAACGGATTACTTCTGAATAGGATACCTGAACAAATATGAATTGGCAATTCAGTTCAGCTCTGATATGAGCTGTTTGGCATGGTGATATCAGAAGTGCCTTCCATGCGAAGGGTCCGAAGTTTAAATCTCCGACGGAATGGCGGATTTGCACTACTGGTGAGCCCTAATAAGAACAAAACTCCAGTTTAGTGCTTCCGAATGTATGGTCGATCGGCGGAACTGAGGATTATCCATGAAGGTGAAATCCAAAAGTTGATTAGTTTCAATCAATCAGTTATCCCACACCACTATTCACAAGTAACTGTGAGTTACATGTGAATGAAAACACTATAACTAAATAAACCTGAATCAAATAAACAACACTCAAATTCACTAAACCTATGTTCGAAACATACCAAAATACCCTCACAAAGACCCCGAATAGCGTGGAAATAATCCTTGGAGAAAATATTCCGATCGCGCAGAAACGCCCAATTTTCTGACCAGATTTGACTTGCAATACGTTTTGGCATTCGACAAGACAGGATATTGTCTGTCCTAGCCGATGGAGTCTGTGAGTCCAGTTCGTCCTCCAAAGTACCTTGAGTAGCACCAAAACTTCGGGTAACACTTTCCAACGAGATGCTCAACTGCGTATCCAAAATGCGTTCTGATTTTGGCGAGACTGTATTTGAAAGACGAAGAGAGCAATTAGAAAACGAATCACGAACAAATTAATAGAATATTCAAGACAGCAAGAAGAAGCATCGCGATCATGCATTCAATTTTGTGTGGCAGTCTTATCACCTATGTACATACGTTCATATTGCACCTGGTTGAGTAAAAAGTTTAAGGACAAACGAACACATGTGGGGAAGAGAACCCAAATGAAGAGGTCGTACAAATTAGGTGAATTTGATAAATCCTGTGTTTATTAGGCTTTTCTTGCTCTAACGAAACTCTTGAAGAGAACTGGTTGCATGAGATCACACTGATAAATCGTTGAGGAACGTTGTTGAGCAAACACATGAAACAGCGTGCACCCGTCGTTTTGAGCAGCTGCAGGTTGTTCATTTATTTTCGAGAAATACCTTGGATGTGTTCCTCGGACACAAAAAAGAAAACATTACTTGAAAACCCGCAAAACATTCTATAGCTGTTTTTTTTCTTTTCTTTCAACGCATTATCGAAAGTAGGATTCTACTGGCTAAAGACAAAATTAGGAACCTTGTGAGAAGAATGCATGCACGTTATTCACTCGTCTTCCACAAAACTCAATAAAGTAACTCTTTTTGATGATATAAGTGAGTGCCACTTATTTTCACATGCTTGCTGAGAAGAAGCGACTGGTTATTTTCCATGGGTTATTACTCGACAGAAAGCATTTCAAGACTGACACAACCAGGAATAACGTATCGTTGCGAACAACTGCCAACCGCAAACCACAAGATTTATGCCTCACAAGTGTCACATGTGGCAAACGTTCTAGGGACTAATTCCGACCGATTTACGGGATTCATCGTTTCTAAATACATAGATCAAAATAACCGACCAAAGTACTATATAAACAAAACAAATAGAAAAAACGAATGAGAGAAAATACGGCTTTCTAAGATAGTATAGCTAAAGTACAGAAAATCCTAAATGAAATCGGGCGAAAAAAATTGATATGATCACAGTTGCGTTCAGACATGAATAAAAGGTAACAACCACCCCAGATCATCGGGAAGGTATGAACGATACGCACCACTAAGAAGGTTATCCGTAATCAGCGAGGGCACTGAACACTCGTAGATTGGTGAGCGAGTTGCGTGCGACTCGTCCACGGGCACACTTCGTTTTGTCATAAGACTTTGTCTTAGGGCAGCATAATTCAAATCCACACGTTCGTAAAACAGCATATAAGCGCTCCAATAGCGTGTGCGTCGTTCGGTAGACCGCCCTGTCGGAAAGAGAAACAAAGACGAATTTTAGATAGTCATAAATTCAGAGAAAGGAGATACTATGTGTTCGTAACTTCTACAGATATGCCAATAATATCATGTTTTTGAAGCTCTGGAATAAAACATCAGTCGTCTTCAGACAATCACTTTATGCAATTCGACAAACTATTCGAAATTTAACCACGGTAATATATATATATATATATATTCCATGGGGATAATACTAATGTTAAAATTGAACTATGGGAATTACTTGTAAGCTCGCTCTTCTCTTGTACCTTAGGGCATTAGCCCAATTGAACCATTTCATGGTCCAAAAGAAGTGTCACATACAGTTTCGGTTGTAAAACTATCACATGATGTGACCTTAAGACACTGTTTCATGTGGTTTCACTAGCGTTGAAAAGTCAGACAAGTTAGCATTCCATAAAGTGTGTACTTCAAGGAATTGACAGTTGGTGCAAAAATAAAGTGGAGTGCGAGTGATGCACATGCTGATGGCAGACGGCTGAAGCCGGAAGTCCACTCGGCAGTTTTGAACGGATGATGGAAACTGATGTCCCTGAGATGGATGTTAATTCACAGTGCGAATGATATGGATGGCTTGAGTTCTATAGGGCACGGTAAATGGAAATCAAGTTTCCTCGGATATAGCCGTGCTGAGAAGAACATAAACGCAATGATTGTAATCGATTCACATAATTAAAGGAATGAAATCCACTGGCCATAACGGTGGATATCCTTGGTGAAGGTTTCGGTATCTTACGGTCACGTTTTTGTTAAGTAAATGTCCCGTTCAAAAATTTGATTGCCGCTAAAAGTGTGTTCTTGAAGCAAAAAAGAATAAATAGACCCGGCAGGAGTTCCTGGTGGTTTAAAGTTTACAGGAACTGCATCGTTTTATGGGTCCCCAAGCAAGACTTTGACCCAGNTGCAATAAAAATTAAATATGGTAAAAGGAGTTGAAGCATAGAGTTTTCATGGGAGATTTTCGAATTTCATGCATTAGACGGAGCTGAATGAAACCAGGATAGAAGAGAGCCTCAATGGCTGTCTCTCGATAGGCTTAGACTGATAACAGTTGTCCGATCAAGTGTGGAGCATTCTCACATCGGGGGCAGAAAGCGTTATATATCTCACCGTGATGTCTATGTCTAACAGAATGTACTAAACTCATAACCCCTGTCCCGCATACCTTTTCGTCGAATTAATCTCTACGGAACCAAAAACGGACGGCTGGAAAACTTCTCGTCAATAGACCAAGTTTTGGAAATGAACAACACTTGACTGTCGTTAATTGATCATTCAAACATAGTCGGAACTATTAGTACCTGTGAAAACTTGTTTCACAGTTCCCCAGGTTCAGAAGAGAAAAAGCGCTATCAGGCTGTACCCATCAGTCGCCATATAGCGCTCGAGC